ACCGCCATTCCGCCCGGCATCCTGGGCCCCGACGCCGTTCCAAGCCGCCGAGGGGCGACGGCAGCGCCCGCTGGCACCTGCCCGCTGCCCTGAGGAGGTGACGGGGCCAGGGCCGGCCTGCCCCGACACTGGGGCTGCAGAAAGGGAGGGAGGGTGGAAGAAACACCTGGGAAAGGCGCTCCATGCCAGCCCCGTTCCCATGTGGGGAAAGGGGCCCAAACCATTGGGCCGTGGCGCACTCTGGGTGCTTGGTCCGAGGAACTGTGGTGTTCCATGGCTTCAGTGGCGTTCAATACTTAAACCTACCAAACCTGAATCCTCGCCCCACGACTTAATGGCGAGGCCAGTTTGATCTGCTCCTCATGGCCCAGAGCTTGCAAGAGCCAGTACTTGGAGGCAGCTGCTTGGAGGTGAAAGTTGGAGGGTTGGGGAAAGGCCACAGACTTCCTTATCCCTGAGCACACAGCCTGTGCCCTCAGCCTGACCTGAAGTATGCAGGGCACACCCCACATTCACAGGTATGGATCACAGGGATTTGTCCCCTCTCTCCCCATTGAGTAATCCTGTACTAGGAGAGAAATAGGAAGCAGGGCCCCTGCGTTTTCAACTTCACTGAGCCGAAAAAGGAAGGCAGTGATGTGGAAATTAGGTTAAACCGCCTAAGTAGGCAGCTTTCTGCACGTAACTAATCTGGCTGCTGCATATAGCAGTGCTCAAGTGAATTCCAGCCCAGTGGGTAATACTGGGACAAAACCAGGCTCCTCTGCTTGGTTTGCAGGCCAGGGCCCAGGAGAGGGGATGGAAAGTAAAGAGAAAAATAGGATGTGGGGGGGGATATGGAACAGTTCTCCTCTATTGAAATGGAGCTGAGGATTCATGTTAGGCCCTGAACGAGGTAAGGCGAGCAGCAACTTTAAGACTTTGGCTTAAACTCCCAATGTGGGTATCACCACAGCCTTTGAGTAATCAATCTATCACTGTTCTCTAGAGTACCTACACCCCCCTCTTTCTTTCACTGTTGAACAGAGATGCATGACCTTGATACTGTTCCTGCAAGATACACAAGGACAGACCACTGGCCTCGCAACTCATCTGTGCTGCGATATGAGCAGCAGCTGCAAGCATCCAGCTGTGGCTTTCAGAAAAGGAGCAGCTCATCGTTAAGGTCACATTAAGAGACCCAGGTGAGAATGGGATCCTACGTATTGCAGGATGGTGAGGGACAGAAGACTGGATTTCAGAGCTATGGGCAGTGGGTGGCCAAGAAAATCCCAGCTGCTGCTACTGCATGCAGGTCAACTAGAAGGCTACACTCAGACTCACCTCTCAATTACCTCCAGGCACTACTCAACCCGTGCTTTTTTAAACACACTATTATGAGAGAGGTGCTTGGAGGAGAGCCCTTGGGACATGTCCCACTTCCACTGACAGCAGCAGTCCCGAAACACTGATGAAGATGCCCTAGGTGCCTCTTCACTTCCAGTTGCCAGGAGCCAGAGCACATTGAGGAGACAAGTATCCCACCTACTTTATGCTCAGTTCCTTGAAAAAAGTGGCACAGGAGCTAATGGTCCAAAGCTTTGGCTCACCAAACCTAATGCAGGGCTATGCAGAGGGGACTTCGGTAACGCTATTTTGTGTAGAACTAGGTATTTCTTCCTTGTCATGTGCAGTTACCCAGCAGGTATGAGGAAGGTCATTTATTTTTTACCTACTGGGGGCAGAAAGAGTGTTGCCATTGAGAGTTAACACATAGACAGAGAAAAACAGTGGGTTAATAGCTACTACAGTGTGAGTAGACACAGGAAAGGAAACAAATGGGAGAAGAAAGAGCCTACCTGTAACCCAAAATCACAACTAAGGTAACCATTAGTGCAACGATAGACTGTAAGAAGAGTTGGACTCTCAGGTACCGCATAGGAGAGGAGGGGGTCATAGATGCTTTAATATTAATTTTCAACTTTAATAAACAGCTTTCTCTTTCTAATCTGACAGCTTTATATGTTTGTTCCATATTTAATAAAGAGAGGCTTTATTACACAGAGCTACCTTTACTCAAAAGGGGGAAATGATGAGTTATTTCAGATTTGCTGGAAGGAAGAAAATTATTTGAGATTCGCTGCAAGAGCTGTGGCAGGAAACAAAGGCAGAGGTAGTGTTGCACGGTAGGGTTGTAAGGCTTGTTCTGGTAACTAGAGGACTGGTAACAAGAGATGCCCTCCCACAAGGACTTTATTAAGCCTGTGTGCTCAGAATGCTCCCTGGAACTGCAGCATGCATGCATTTCCCTGAAAAAACGTGTCCTTCTCTGTCAGTGAAAGGCAATGGTGAAGCTCTCAGCCGAGTACTGAATTTCTGGCAATAAAAAACAGTTCAGCTTCCAGCTGCTGCTGCACAGTGAATTAATCAGGGCTGAAGAACTGGAGCAGAGCAAGCCCCACAGCTTCCAAGAGGGTGGTTGGTTGTCACCCTGATCATGTCCCCAGCTGACACAACACACAAGCTGCTCAGGGGAAGCATGAAGGGCTTGCCCACTGCTTTCCTCTGTGCTTTGAGTGAAAACACAGGGCACAGCTTCACCCCTTTGGTCCAGCTGAGTGGCTCAGTGCAGGAGGGAGCACAGCTGTTCTCCAATTGTGTCCTAGATCAGCAATGATACAAGTTTGGTTCAGAATGACTTTTTCTTCTCAGCTGAACTTACTCTAGTGACAATTGTCTCTTTCTCTTTTACTTAACCCCTGCCAGTACTCCCAGAGTTTGCACCAAGAGAAACAGATTCATCCTAGACTGCCAGGCCAAGAACTTGAAATTAGAAACAAACCTCCCATGGAGATATAGAGAGAGAAATAGCAGAAGCAGCATTACAAACTAACACTTCCATTTTGTCAAGTCCTGAAGTAATAGAAATTCTAGGAGCTGAAAGTGGTTCAATTGGTCCAAAAAACCCCTTGGAGACTACTGGCAAAAATAATTAACAATTCCCCCGAGTAGCTTGCTCTGAGTGGTGTTCTTCAGCTAAAATATTTCCCAAGGAAGGGGGTCAGGAGGGGAGAGAGAGAGTGAGGGAACCTGTCACACGTGTGATTGTTAGCAGAGAAGCTTTTTACTCTTGAAAGGGGAACAAATTATGAATGTGGGAATAAGCAAATAGTGGAAAGTAGGTCTGTGACTGAAAATAATCAAATCCTGTCCAGTGACATTTTTTTCAACTGAAGCAGATGACCAACCTGATTACAGTAGCTGGCACTATCTTCCTCTTTCATTGCACCTTGGCACTAGTCTGAATCCACCACAGCTGCATCCTCTCCCATTAATATAAACAAGGGACCAAAGAGTGCAGTTCTGACATACTGCCTTGTGCACTTGTGGGCACACCAAGGAAGACGAGCAATATCCTGGTTTTTTTCCTGCCTGAGTTTAAAGATGCGCTTCTCTGAGGGGTGGCTCCTCTCCCCCACACATCCAGAACTACAGGAACAGAAAAGATGAAAGCCAGTTACCAGCTAGAAACTTCTACTTGTGGATCAGTAGAAGTTTGAGCAGTGAAGGAAGGCTCAGCTACTCAGTTGTGAGTGCGGGTAAAGCTTAGACTGGGCTGCTCTGCTTACCCATCCTTACTGGAGCTTTCCTGCACCAATACACTGGAGATTAATATGCCAACTCTATTTCCATTATACACTCTGCTATCTCTCCCTTTGTTAAATGGAAACACCAGAGAAAAGTTTGCCAGAGATGCTCAAAGCCCCAGGTGTCCTTTCAAAAAAAGGCCTAGACTCAGCTTGAAAAGCCATTCAGACACAGCAGAATGGGTGTCTGGGGAACATAACTCCTGCCACCCCTGCCCAGAGGTGACAGTCCCATGGCTGGGAGGCATGAGGGTCAGCAGCACAAGGGTGCGCTGAACTGGCCTCCTAATAGAAATATCCACTGAAGACCTGCACAGATGTGCTGGCCTGCAAGTTCCACAGAGCAACATGGGCAGAAGGGTGGCAGCAAAAAAAGGTACAGTGAAAGCATGGGGACAGATACATTTCTGACATACAGAGCAGAAGGGATGGTGAGGTGAGATAGCAGCTTGGATCAAGTGAAGAAAGAACGTGACAAGAAAGAGCATGTGGTTAAACACTGCGCTGTTCCTGAAAATTGCCAGAGAAAGTGAAGTTCCTGTGCCTTTTGAACTAATATGCCTTTGAAAAATGTGCCCAAAACAAGGCATGTATCACAGAACATCTGAAGGACAACAGAAAATTGCAAAGAATCCTGCTTTGAGTCTAGCACAGGACAGATGAAGGCACAGAGACCCAAACACCACGCTCCCACCACAAGCAGGCTCAAGCATAAAGACATCACTCAGCACCAACATCAATTTAATTCTTCCCTCTTCAGGACAGGAACAGGGCAGATACTCCTGGAGTTACATCAGCAAGCGGAAAGAGGGCAAAGGAACAAACTGTGCTGGGCAATCCCAGCTAAACATGCAGGCAACAGAACCACTCTACTCAAGACAGCCCAGACCTGGATGGGGGAAGAGTGCAGCTCTTCTGAGTCACTGAGGTGCGACTCACCTCCGCTGAGTCCACTCAGCTGCCCAAAACCGTAACGCAGAGGACAGGTCCAGGAAAACAAAACCAAGTTGTCTTCTTGCTGTTCTGTCCTGTTCCTAAGAGGCAGCAGGTTACTGTGGCCCTATGCAGCCCCAAAAGTAGTGAAGGAAGCAAGTCCAAGTCTGTAAAACTACAGGGTCAATGCAATGGCTTTGGCTGTTGTGTTCAATATAGCATTGGAAACAACAGGAATGTCTCGGGCAACTCTCTGAAAGGGAGGCATGTTGGGTCCTTCCAGTGTGTCCAGGATACCTGCAGAACAGAAAACAGGGGAGAGAGGCAAGAGTTAGCTCAGATGATAGCAGATGGCACATTTCTTCTTGCTCTTCTCTCTGACTAGGGTGTGATTGAGGGTGGCAGGGCCCAGAACAGGTGAAGCACTTGCAGAGAGTGGAAGGAGACATCTAGCCCCAAAGACTGAACAGGAGTAAACACTTCCATCCAGAGACCACAGGGTGCACATCAGAGCTTGTGCTCGGGGCAGGAAAACTGCATGTTCCCAAGAGGAACACAGATCCTTTTGCTTCGAGGGTGTCAGATCCAGTCCCCTGCCATCTGACCTGAATGCAGGTACTGCCAGAGAAGTTGCTCTGGCAGCTTCTAAAATCCTGTTTCTACTTCATCCCAGCACAGATCTTGCTCTTAGACCAAGACTCTCTTTCATCCTGAGATACACTTGCAGACTCACATCAGGAGCTGCCGCTGTGCTGCAATATGGAATTTTTGCCACTGCAATGCAAACAGACCACGCTTGGCAGGAAATACACAGACCAATGCAAATGTCCTCAAGTCTCTGTCAATTACCCTCTTAAGACTGATAATCAGTTTCGGAGTGCCTTGAGGAAAATTGCTTGGAATATATTTTGTTCTATTTCATCTGCCAAAAAGCTTCAGATCAGAACCTCTGCCATAAGAACAGATTCAGGAAAGAACAAGATTTATATCTAAAAGGACTTGAAATGCTATGTATAACCCCTAATTATGCAGATTTATCAGAAATATCACAAATGGGTCTGGCTGCCTAAACTCTATAGAGAGATTTGCAGAATTGCATATTTAGGGATCTGGAAACTCTTTAGAGATGGGGTGGGAGAAGAGTTTTCATTTTTGTTTGTTTTTTTTTTAAAGAGGTTGAGACTTTGTTAGAAGAAAACAAGAAGAGACATGGAAGGAGGACCTGAACATGCATGGCCTGGTTAATAGTACCAGCTGAGGAAGATACAACCTCTGCTATCTGTGCTATACAACACAAGATTAAAGAAGATGTTAAACAAAGAAGGAAAAACAGTTATGGCACATTTCCTGATCAGAGAAAAGCAACCTTACTTCAACAATATTCAGGAAGGGGCTGGACATGTGCATGCAAGAACAGTCGGTGCTGTTACACTTTACTTGTGGGGAACTAATAAGGGTCCTTCCTCATAAATTTGGTCTTAAGTGCTGAAACTCAGTGCACAGTAAATACTCCAATGTGTACCTGCTGCCCTACTTGAACAGCTTCTTCTAAAAAAAGCTAGTGGCAGTCATTTTAGAGCTGGAAACTGGCACAGATGCCCAAAGGACAGATTCAAACTGCCCATACTTTCTCAGAGAGAGAAAAAACAACTTCTCTTCCCTCAGATCTAACAGGATGTCTTTATATCTCCCTTGCTTACCTTCTACCACCTTGTGATAAGCAAAGTGCAGATAGAGCAGGAAAAGCATATGCAGAGCAGCAAGAGTCCCACACAGGATGAGCCGCTGGGTATGTCCCACGGTGCGTGACACCAGCACAGCAACCTAGGAGAGAGGAGGTGATCAGAGACAGGGCAGCTGCTACCTGAGCCTCTGGCACTGCAGTCAGGAACACACAGAAGAACAGGTCAAGCAGTGAGAATCTGCAGAAACGCTGCACTGAGTCTTTGTCGCAGTTTTCACCAATGAATTTGACGCTGTTTTGTGTAGGTGAACTTTGCCCAGTCTTGCCAAGAGTGCAGGATGCTCAGTCATGGCTCTCCACAGCAGCTGTAAGGGAGGGAGTAAATGAACCTCTTGCAGCTGTTAGAATGGGTGAGGATATCAATCCAAGCTGCACCTCCACACACCAGTGGCCAAATTACGCAGGAGCATCGGGCTGTTCTGTAACTCAGCAGCTCGACTGGCTGTGAAACGAACCACCAGGCCAAGGAACAGAAAGCAAACAACACTTCCTTTTTTTGTCCCAGTAAGAGAAGGACCCCAGGCTGCCTGTCCCTTACCATTCGTAGTGTAGAGAGTCCACCAACAACCAACCAGAAGATGTAGAAGAGGGAGTGGAAGTGGATATTATAGGTGACAAAGAGAGTGATGCAGTGTCCAAAAAGACCATAGCCCTGACAAAACAAAAATGTCCATGTTACAAGCACCAGTCACACACAAAGGGCCATTGATCAAGAGCACAAACAGCCTATTCCTGCAACACTTCACTGTGGCAAAGCCTCACAAATCACTCATTCACTGCCAAACAGTCAAGCAGAACAACTTTAACAGCAGCTCACAGACAGATAATCTGTCTGAAAGATTCACAGGCATGCCAGAGACTGCGACAATGTGGGAAACAGAGGAAAGATCCTCCAATCCCAGAGAAATTTGAGTTTCCTGGCTTTTTACCACCAGGTTCCCAAATCAGGAAGTGCAAAGCAGAAGACTTGCACAAAGGAACTGCCTCTTTGCACTGTCACTGTGCCTGGGATGGGGCAGGTCAGAAGAACATCCTGGAATTCCAGGCTGTCCCAGTGCAGTTACCTGGGACCAGCAGTTTACAAAGACTTTCCCTGCTCTTTGGGAAAAGCTTGTTCTGGAACACCATGCAGCCAATGTGCATCACAGGGCAGCTCCATGAGTACATACCAACAGTGACAGCATCTGCACCATCGTGATTTGGGCATTGCACAGATATGCCAGGAAATACATGAAAGATGAGACGCCCAGCCAGTAACCGAAGCAGGTGCCAATGGCTGTGCCCATCAGTGTGCCTTCCCTCTGTGGAGACAATGTCAGGATGAGGAGAACTCAAAGGAGTGGCCTGCCAGCACCCAAACCCCTGAGAGTCCCAGATCCTTTGCAGGCATTATCAAAGAGCTGGCCACCAGCAATCAGGGGGCCACAGGATCTAAACCCCAAGCCCTCCCAGCAGCAGTGTCAAGACTTTCTGGGACATCCTTGCTCCCACCCCCAAACCAACATCCTCAAATCAATCTGCTTTTCAGCAAGATGCTTATTCAGTTATAGAAAAGATTTCCTCTCCATTTCTAGTGTCACTGCAACAACCCAGTCAAACCACCACTTATCAACAAAACTGGACGTACAATGATGGTGTCTGACGTCTTCATTCCATGCAAAAGAATGGCCACCAGTGTGAAAACCAGCATGAGGGGTCCATACAGCTCGCCTGCAATTTTCTACAGAAGGAGACAGGTGAGGGAAAGATTGGTTAGAGCCCCTGAATATCATACATCAGCCCCTGAATATCAGAGGCGATGTGAGAAGTGCACTGGATGGAGTTTATCACCCAGGTTATCACCTGAGGTTAGGGGACACACACTGAGGTTTGGAACAACCATGGAAAGGAGCCACCAACATTTTCAGGGAGAACACCTAGCAAACTCGGTCCTTAATAACATGGATTATTACAGTTTCACAAGATGTCTGTGGGACAGTCACTTGGACATGGAGTCTGATTCAGCAAAAGGGAACTCACCTGTGGGAAATTAATCATCTTCACAGGAATCATGGACTCCAGCAGTCTGCACCACAGGAAAGCAGGGAATGACAACGGGAGCAGGAAGAACAACAGGATAGTTAACAAAATGCTTCGTCAGTAAAAGATCCCACATATTCATTACCAGTGTTTGCTATTGTGTTGACAGGCCTTGAGGGACAGAGGATTCTTTCTAAAGGGTGAGTCAAGAAGGGAAAGAAAAGAAAGAAAACCTTATTTTCAGTGACTTCAGTAACTTTGTTGAGTAGGGGCAGATTCAATGAAAATGTTTAGGGTTCCACTCAGGGATGAGAGATCATCGACAAAACAGCAGGAAGGAAAGGTAATTTTCCTCACAAATGCTCACAAAATTTTGCCTTGCTGGACTCAACCGTGTTACAAAGCCAACAGAAGCCACACAAGGCAGCCAAATACGAAAAGAGCCCTTTCTCCTGCCCTGAGCAGCAATGCCAGGTGACAGGGCCACCAGCCCAACCACGGAACCTCACTAAGACGAGCGGGACAACGCACAATGCGTTTGCCCATCCCTGAGTTTTGCTGCAGGGCTGCCAGCCCACCCCAGCTTGCTCGCTCGGAGCTGACAGCCGGACTCCTGCAGGCACGGAGCCGCTGCCTCCCCGCGCCGGGAGCTGCCCACCTGGCTCGCACTTGGACGGGCTCCACATCGAAGTAGGGCCGGAGGATGTCGATGTTGGCGTATAGGCTGAAGGCCCTGGAGGCTTGTCTCTTCCCCACCTGCCACATCTGCGGAGAGAAGGGAGCGGGCAGCGGCCGTGCGGGCAGGCAGGGACCCCGGGGCCGGGGGCGGCCGGGACACAGCGCTCACCTGGTCAGCGACCTGCCGGCCCAGCTGTCCCCGCAGCCCCTTCATGCCCAGGAACTCCCCGTCCTCCTCCTCGCCGGCGCCCGCCTCGCCCTCCGCTTCCTCCTCCTCCTCCTCCTTCATGCGCTGGTGCATCTCCCCCATGTCCTCGAAGCTGGAGCCCGACGTGTCGTCCATGTTCTCCATGTCGATGACGGCGGAGCCGCCA